AAAGAGGCTATCATTCTTCCAATGAGTTTGTTTGGCCCCTTTGTTAAAGATTAGGTGACTGAGTGTGTTTGTGGTTGTGGCTGTTTCTTCCAGTCTGTTCCACTGATCCTCTGGTCTGTTTTTTAGCCAGTATCAGGTTGATTTTATTACAGTAGATTTGTAGTATCATTTCAGGTCAGGGATTGTGATTCCACCTGACTTGTCTTTGTTGCCCAGGATTGCTTTTGCTCTTCTGGGTCTCTTCTGGTTCCAGATGAATTTAAGGCCTGTTTTCTCGAGATCTGTGAGGTATGCTAATGGTAGTTTAATGGGAATAAGCAGCACCTCCTTTACACCAGCCACATCATGATGGGCTCACATTTACGCAAAGCTTTCCCTTGCCTATCTGTAAAGACATTTTGGAGAAGGACTTGGTCTCATTTATTTTTATTTGATTCTTCTTTTACTACTATTTTATCTTTTCTTTCTTCCTGACAGAAGAGATACACCTTTATTTTTAATTAAAAACAATAATTGCTTATATGTGTAGGGTACAATGCAATGCTTTGATATAAGTGCTATACACATTATGGAATGATTAGATCAAGCTAATTAACACCCCCAGCACTGCACATAGATGTGGGTGTGGGTGTGCACGCGTGTGTGTGTGTGTTGGACCCTTAAAATCTACTCTCAGCGATTTAAAATACACATTACATTCTTACTAACAGTCCTCGTGTTGTGCAACAGAAACTTTTTCCTCCAGTCTCACTGCAACACTGCAACATCCACCATCCCCCTTCTCCCTCCTTAGCCTCTGGAAACTATCACTCCACTCACTGCTTGCGTAAGCTTGACTCTTCCTAGCTTCACGTGTGAGTAAGATGACAAAATCTTTCTGAGTCTGGTTTGTTTCACGAGCACAGTGTCCTCCAGGTTCATCCAGGTTGCTGAAAATGATGGGGTTCCTTTTTAAAGGCTGAATAGCACTCTACTGTGTATGGGCCACACTTTATTTTCGTATCCTCTGGCTGAATCAAGAGACTGACAGAGACAAGTCACTTGATCAGTGTTCAGATCAGTTCCCTTCAGGGTTTGGCTAGGGGTCCTTATCTCTGGATCCCCCTCTTCCTCATTGTGGTGATCCTCAGCTTTGGCCCAGGCTCTTGTGTCCATTTTTGAGGGAAGAGCTCACCTGCAGCCCCTACTTCCTTCCAGGGATAGCGAATACTTGGAAGCCCAGAGCTGGAAGCAGGAGCTCAGGCCTCGCTGGTGGCATTGGAGAAGAGACCAGCCAAAGCCAGCAGGCCCTGAACTCTTCTCTGTAGAGGAGACCAGGCTGCTGGAAAGTGGCAAGCAAGAGCTGTCTCTGAGCACGCGTGTGCGGGCACACACACACACACACACACTCTGGCCATTCTTTTCTGTGGCATATTCTGCCTGACATTTCTGGTGTCAAGAGCTGGCGGCTCTCCCAGCCTCCCACATGGGCATTCTCTTCAAGGCACAGCCCCACGCACCTGCCCCAATGGGCTCTGCCCCAGCAGAGCCTCCTGTGGCTGGGCACCCCACGCCTGCTGCCTAAGCCCTCTTCCCAGTGCGCTTACCCACCATTCCTCACCACCACTCCTGCCATGTTTTCTCCTCTTGTGTTCATTTTCCGGGTTGTGCATCCTACCGTCCTCAACCTCCCTTGCTAGAAAGCTCCATGACAAACCTTGTGCTCCTTCCTCCTCCCCTGAAACCCCTTCCTGCGGTCAGTCAGAAGACCCTGCCCTCTGGACCCCTTAAGTGGCCTGCGCCCCTGCCTCACTTCCGATACATGATTCTCACTGCCATTGTACTTATGGCTACCTCATCTCTCCCAAGAGCTCTGTGACCTCTTCCATCCACCCAGTCAGCATTGTCCTCCTAAAATACAAATCACTCTTCTCCTGAGGCCTCTGCTTGTCCCTATCACTCTTCTCAGGCCTCTGCTCTCCCCTCTGCCTGCAAAGAAAAACAAAAGCCAAACTCTTTACACAAGTCACTCCCAGATCTGACCCCTGCTTGGCTGCCTGCCCTTCCCTGGAACACGCCTTGCGCTTTCCCACTCATCTGCCTTTTGTCCACCTGCCATGTTCCCACCCCACACACAGGCTTCAGAGTTCAGCTCAAACACCACCCCTCTGTGTGACGGGGCTGGGGGCGGGAGAGCTGGCTGCCATCCTCACTGTGGCTGCCCACCAGAGTTCATGCCCGACTCCAATTTATGCAAGCTGAAACCTCGAGAAAGGCAGCGAACCTCACTGGGCCTTGGTTTTTCCATCCTCCTAACAGGATCGTAGGGTTACCTGTAGCAGGTGAGCAGGTTGGGTGAGGCCCATTAAAAGCATGAAGCTTGTGCCAGGTACATAGCTGTTCCTTTCCATTGCCACTTATATTGCTGTCATCTCTCGGGCAGATTTCATCAAACCTGCCTCCTCCCTTTGACCACATTTGCTTGAATCTATCATGGAGCTTAATTCTTTGGCTTTGTAATGAGCTTGGTTTTGCCTGTGGCTACCTCACTCAAAGAGCGCGGGGATCAAGTCTGGTATGACCTGGCACCTCCCCAAGAAGAGCAAAGATGTGCTTACTCCATGTCCACAGGGTTCGTTCTGTCTGTTTCCTTCGCTCCCCATCCACTCCCAATAAAGGCCGTTTAGCTGTGTGATGGTCTGAGAGTGTAGTGGCATCTGTGTGAATGAGAAGGTGACAAATGTGCATCAAGGGTGTGAGAATGAGTGCAAGTGTGTGAATGTGTCTGTGTAAGTAAGCCTCTAAGTGTGTCTGTATGTGCATATGTGAACATAAGAATGTGTATTGAAGGACTTGTGTGAGTATATATACATGTGTGCCTATGACTGTATGTGAGAATGAAATGTGCGTCGGTGCATGTGTGAGTGTGCATGTGAGTGAGCAGGTATGAGGTGTATGTGAGTATGCACGTGTGTAGGTGTGTGTGTATATGAGTGTTCATGGTAGTGTATGGGAATGTGTACACATGAGTGAGCATATGAGAGTGCAAGGGTGTGAGTGTGTACTGTACAAGGATGCTTTCCAGTTTCCCATCCCCTTAGCTACACTTAAAAGAGTCAAAATGCCTACCCGCCTGCGGCCCGTTGTCCAGATGCAATCACACAAAGCTACAATGCACACATTCAGCCTGTTTCCACTCCCATCTTCGCCCTGCTACCTTGCAGAGTACAGAGAGCCAACGAAAATCAGCAGGCTCACAGACCACAAGTGATACAGCCCTATTGTCTCCAGAAGGGTGCAGATGACTTTGGATCATGTCCTCAAGATTTGCAGGGCTGGAGGACGGGAGGAGACTAGCTGTGTCTGCTGAACACTTGTTATGTGGTGGGCCTTTCACTCATCAACAAACAAAACTTGCCCAGAGTGTCACAACCAGGGAGTGACAGATCCCAGGTTCAGTCCCAGAAGCGTGATGATGTTGATGACGATGTTGTGCAAAGTGGATCGGTGATGCTGTGGGTGTGACTGCTGGCTTTATTATCAGAAATGGCTGTTTGGCGGTTTTTGTCCCACTGCTGTGCTGCTGAGATCTGATTATTTTTTAAAAAGCACAAGCGCGCTCATGCACTTCTGTGTGTATGTGTGTGTGTGTGTGTGTGTGTCTCCCTAACCAGGAAATGAAAACTGGTGACTTGGGCAGGGGCCAGGCAAGAAAAGAAGAACAGCAGCCCAGGCAAGTCCTCATGGGTTGCAAATACTCAACTGTGTGGGTCTGAAAAGCACCGCTCTCGGGTTGGAGCCCAGTGTAAGCGACCTGGGCCTGGAGGATCAGCCTGATTCCAGGCGAGTGCCAGCTGGACCGTAGGCGGCAGCAATTTGTTCCTGGTGGAAGCCAAGCCACTTGGAGTTGTCGGATCAGCAGATGTCAGAGCAGGCTGGGGCTGCAGGAGCCCGAGCTACAATGGAACCCATGGCTGCTGCTACTCCCTCACACTGGCAAAGGGATCATCACGGTCATTCTCAGAATGAGCCCCCCAGACCACAGACACAGGATCCCCTGGGGTGATTTGCTACCTTGGCATACTTGAGCCTCTCCCTTCTGAGTCAGTCTGTAAGAAAGGACCTTCAAATCTACATTGTTAACAACCTGGTGGCTCTCAATTCCTCAGAAACACCCCAAGAGAAGGAATACTAAGTAGTAAATTAGTACAGACAAGCAGCCCCAGCAGCTAGTGAGGCAAAGGAGTAAAGAGGAAGCCAAGCAAGGGTGGAAGCTCAGGGAAAAGTCTTGTGGAAACGGCTTCCTGGGTGTCCCTCCAAGGACTCTACAGTGTCACCACAGAGCAGAGCCAGCCACCTCAAGTCCTCCAAGTATCCAGATCTGCTCCTACCTAAGACTTTGCCACCTGACTTCTTTATTAGAATGAAGAATGATAGAAATGGGTTCTCTTTATAAAACTAAAGATATTGCCCTTGTGAAGACTGGCTAAAAAGTTTAGGAACATCCCCATCTGGCATGAAAGAGGCATGAGTCCAAAGATACCCAGGCCTGCACCAGGGATAGCTCCTCGGACATGGTCCCTAATCAGGCCCGTGTCCAGCTGTGGGTCAGGAGAGTTTCTAGCTGCCTAATGCTGATTATCACTGTAACAGGAGCCTGCCTCTGGAATTGGGTTGTTTCTGCCTTGTGCGAACCATAAGGGGGAGGTCAGAGAATCCACAGGGATGAGAATGAAGCATTACTTATGCTAGTGTGGTCACACCTGCGTGACTGGAATGCTGATTTAACAACTTCAGGTCTGAATGTGACCAGAGAGGTGCTTCACCCGAGAGTGAAGGCAGGGATAAGAAGTGACAGCTCACCTCATTCAAGCTTATTCAATCCTGCCATTAACCGCTGGAAAGCACCTAGGGATCACGTTTGTGTAGACTCACTCTGAGTGGCTTGTGGCACAGAGGACACTAGGAGTGGCATGGTTACTATAGGGTGAGAGAAAGACGTTTTCAAGTATTGATAATTATGGTTAGCGTTCCCTGGGACACCTGCCTCAGACTCCCCTAGGAGCATGCCCCTTCTCCACACTTACTGAGTCAGAGTCAGTGTCGGGAGAGTGGAGTGCAGGGCAGGTCACTGTCCATTGATTTTCTGCACACTAAAATTTGAGAATCACTGCTAAGGAAATCTCTTCTCATGTTCCCACCCTTGGGGTTAAAACGATAGCTGGCGTAGTGTATTTCCAAGGCATAAGTACAACCCACTGATTATTTCTTAACTATGCCTCATAGGCAGCTTGAGATAAAGCAGAGCCAGCCAGAAAGTAGGTTCTTAGAAATAGGGTACCTAGAATCTTACAGACACCACTAGAAAGAATCAAGCAGGAGGGCATGCATTCATTCTCTAGGCCCCCAAGAGCCAGCTCAACAGGGCTGCCCACCCAACAAGCCTGCCCACACCTACCATGGTCAGCATCCAGCAGAGGTTAGGAAGATGGCACCTGAGGGAAAGAAAGGTGAAAGACAAATACCTGAAAGAAGGAGTGGAATGGTTCCTTAAGATACGGTGTGTCGCCCAAACCAGATCGCTAACCCTTCTGATCACAAAAAGCTAACTATGAAACTGAATGTGATGTGGTTGCACACACCTATAACCCCAGGACTCTGAGGGCCAGGCAGGAGGACTACAAGTTCAAGCCAAGCTTGGACAATTTAACAACTTAGCGAGATCCTGTCTTAAAATAAAAAGAGCAGGGACATAGGTCAGTGTAAAGGCCTTGAGTTTATTTCCAGTACCAAAAACATCTGAGCCTGAGAGCACTTCAAAAGCAGCATAGTTCTCTTAGAACTGGAATTAGAGCCAAGGAGGGGGACCTCAGTGTCATGAGTTAACATATAGTGCATTGGTTCAACATCAGGAACAGGATGGAAAAGAAAAACACAGCAAGAAGAAAAGAAGGGCAAAACTTAATTGTAGAATATATTACAAATAATGTTACCAGTAGGCAGACCAGTGAAAAAGAGAAATAATGGTTTCATCACCACTTTGCTCAACAATTTGCTGTGAGAAAGACAATTCTCTATTTTATGACTAAATCTCCACCCTACTTCTTTGATTGATCATTGTGCCCATTACCTTCATTACCAATATTTTACATGCAACTATCTCAAGGTGTTGGCTTAATTAGGATCAACCCTTTGGTTGGTAAATAAATGTATTGTTTTTCTTAAAAATACAAAATGAAAGAATTCAAGCAAGAGGTAAACACCCAATAGCACTTCTAACCGTGATCCCCATGGGGAAGTTATTATTCAGTATATGCTTATAGGACTTAGTAAAGTTTTCAAATATGTACAACATCTCCACCTTAAGTAAAACAAAGATGTGAGCAGGTGGGATGGGAGGTGATGGGTTTGTCTTTGGAGGCAGTGGAAATAAGAATTAGGGGAAAGAGTATCCCATTCTATAATCAGTTTTTGGAGGAGAAGCACAGCAAGGAATAGAATGGAGGGTGACAGAGAGAGGAGGGTGAGAAGGCAGGGGAGTGAGTCATAGGCAAGCCTCCCTCTGGCCTGGAAGTTCTAGGGAGCACAAATGAATATCTAGGGGCGGGGAGCGCCGGTCTTCAGACCGGCGGCTCACTCCCAGCCTCCTAGGCCCCCAGAAGGAGCGCTTCCAGTGCACAGGGAGCCATGGGCGGGGAGCGCCGGTCTTCTGGCTGGCTAGCTTCCTGCCTCATAGGCCCCCGGAGGGAGGGCCCCCAGCACATGGGGAGCCATGGGGCAGCGAGCGCTGCTGCAAGCCGCCGCTCAATTGAGATCTGTCATGACACAGAGAAACAGTGACACAATTGGCCCACCATGCACCGACTGCAGTTGCCCACCCATAGATGTGTGTGAATCATTCAAACTTTGAACAACCCCTGGGAATGCATGCCATACAACGGGCCACTCTTGCTCCTGCCATTGAGCACCGGAAAGGTCCAGAACCAGCAGAGGAGCAGCTGCTGAACAAGGACTCAGAGAACATGAGAATGCAGACTAAGCCCACGGAGTCAGAGGTCCTGTTGACTGGGGTCACGAGAGCCACTCGGAAGCTATAAACCAGGAGGACCTTGCATAATATCTGCAGAGACTCACTGGAAGCCATTCTTCCCCTGACAGTACAGGCTGTGGTGGAGCTCCAGAGAAGTCTGCAGCAGGATTCCTGCCACCTGTGCTGACAGTTGGGGAGAGGACACTAACTGGTTGTGGGGTCCCAATGCGATGGGAGGCTGGAGAGAAAACGCTACAAAAAATGGCTTTCACCCCAGATGACTCACTTGATTTTTGACAACCCTTAGGCTGTAACTACTTGTTAGATCCTTCTTGCATATCTCTGTCTTCCTGAGAAACCACTTTGAAGATACCACCATGTATTACAGCAGTCATTGATATTTTCCTACTAATCTATCCATAACTCTGTAATGTTTGTATTGTTCCTATCCTATTTCATAAATGGATCCATGTTTATTATTATGTGTTTCCTACAACAACAATTGAGAATTATTGAATGATTATTCAGTAGGTCACTCATGTATAGTTCTATTTATATTCTTTAGAAGCCACTTTGAAGATACCTAAGTGTAGTACAACAACGATTGATAATCTCCTACCTCTTTTGTCTGTGACTCACTATCATTTGTCTATTTGTTTTCCCTGAGAAACTATCTTATAGATAACAATATGTAAAACAATAACCATTTATAATTTTCTACCACTTTGTCTGTAATTTGGTGAGCCCCTCCTATTAGTATGTTATCCTTCTTTTACTCTTTAAAATAAAAAAAAAAATGAATATCTGATAACTGCCCCATGCCAGACATGATATCAGGCCTTCTCTCTACTTGCTGAGACTCTCTCAAGAGAGAGAAAAACAGAACAAGATCTCATCAACAAGTGACTGGTTGCAAAGGTGGGACTCAGCAAATCTTGGAACCAGAAAATGCAAAACCTGAACACAGACTCTAAATCTATTTGGCTTCAGGTTGCAAGACTTGAGTAAGAAGGGATTCAGAAACTACCTCCCTTCCTTCCTTGCTTCCTTCTTTCTTTCCTCCCTCACTTTCCTTTTTTCTTCTGTGTTACTGACACAGTGGGCCAGAAAAGGAACAGTTTATCAAGCATCTTCCTTTCCATTATGTCCACGATGCTTGGCATTCATGCCAAGAAGTACGAATGTCATCATTCTTATTTTAAATGACGTAGAAACTGCCTACTGTCCCACAGCTGGTCCCTCACTTTATAGTCTTGCCTTCACCTTTTCCTTTCTGAAGCAGCTGGCGAACAAGCTCAGCCAACACATCATGAGCTCCTGCTCCACACCTGCCAAGGTTGCCATCAGAATGGGAACAAGCTAGGACAGAGAAAAATTGCCTCAGCATGCAGCCTGAGTGTCCAGAGTCATGGGCCATGCCAAGGCTGTGCTCCAGCATGGAGCTAAATCTCCCCTGCCCCTTGACACCTGCCACCCTGGCCAAAGTGGCAGGGGGACAGGAGACCAAAGGAAAGAGGATGTTAACCATCTGCAAATCTCATGAGATGTGTGAACACTGTGAACCAGAACACAATGTGTTCCTGCTCTGCAGGGGCATCAGGCCTGGGGGCGGGGGCAGAGGCAGAGGCACCTGCTAGAGGCACGATTAATAGAAGAGAAAAATAGGAAGGTGAGGGGGCAGGAGCCTGAGCTAAAAGGATCAGAATACAGGATTGAGGGTGGGGTTCAGGACGGTTTGCTGAAGGTCCAACAGGTGAGCCGAGCACGCTTGGAAGAGCTGTCAGCCTTACCACCAGACATGGGCAGGCAGAGCTCACTATCCCTGCCGCCTGGGGGCACCCAGACTGAGCCGAGGACAGGAAAGTGCCAGCCTACCTCCTAGAGCTGAGGGGATGAGAAGGGAAGAAAGATAAGGCTGGTCTTTAAGCGGAGGCCAGGGATGGGGGCAAGGAGAGGAGAATGGCCTGAATCTAGAATCCCACTGACCCAGAACGTCATTCCTTTTGGTTGCTGTGATAACAAGAATAAAAGATGAGGAAAACAAATCAATGAGACATGCAAAACTTCTCTCTCAGCCTCCCTTAACCTTGCAAATAATAGCCGTATTGGATGATTAGAGGAAGCACACAAGCCCGTTTAATAGAGGGTCTCCAAATCTGCCACCAGGAGAAATAGCTGCTAGCTGGCCCCACCTCTCCCACTCGCAGCTTGTGCTGGGAAAATGTTCAGGATAAACTGCCCAGAAGTGGGCACCAGCCCAGGTCATCCAATCTTGAGAAGCGATAGCCAATCCCTCATCTCCGCAGCTGTCAGGCAGCTTCTGTGGGTACAGCTCTGGTTACAGGCTTGAGCAGGCACAGAAGCCACCGGCCCAGGCGCGGTACACGGCTGAGTGTCCTGACTTGGGGGAGGGGGAGGGGGAGGTGGTCAGCAGGGTTGAGGAGGGGTTTGCAAGGCGGCTGCTCCCTTTCTCTGCTCTTCACCTCCTCCTCCGTACATCTGACTTTTCTCCAGAGCCTACAGACCTTCCTTTCCTACACTGAGTTTTCAGCCAAGAATGCAGATGACTAGAGCAAACACGCACCACACAGGCTTCCAACGTGAATTCCGCAGCCCAACAGAAGGGGCCTCACCTACTCAGGTGGAGAAACTGGAAGTCCAAAGCTTGCGTTCTCACCACAGGGCTTCCCTACACTGAAAGGGAGAAGATGGGGCTGGGATCTTCTGCTTGGTGGCTGAGAACTTCAGAAAGCAGATGGTACTTGGGATGGGCAGAAGTCCTCAGCCTGGCCTATGAATTTCTAATAATGTGTAGACCCAAAATAGAGCACAAGAAACCACTGGAAGCTGAACCACATATTAATCCAGGCAAACTAATCAGCTATTAAAAGGACAAAAAGACTGGCTTAACTCAGCCTCGATACCACGTCAAGATTGCCCATTCGTAGACTTGTGGAATTTATTTGTAGCTCTTATTGAACAATTACTATACATCAATTCTAGACCAGATTAAGACATTAAATTGCTACTGTTTAATACCTGTGCAGCCTTGGGAATCTCTTTACCTTCCTGTTAGTCTGCTTCCTTCCTATAAAATGCAGGGGTCTTTAAAACTAATCTCTTTAGTGAGCTAATCAATTGCACCTACGGAGGAATCACAGCCTTTCCTATTTTGATAACATAAAAAGACAGAGGTAGGGGCTGGGGATTTAGCTCAGCAGCAAAGCGCCTGCCTGGCAAGCGCAAGGTCGTGAGTTCGGTTCCCGGTACTGGAGAAAAACCAAAACCTAAATAAATAAATAAATAAATAAAAATAAAAAGAGGTGATTAGGAGACCAGGGCACCCTTCAAAACTGGAGTGGGAGATGATCCCAAATGGAAATCAGAAAAAAAAGGCAAGAGAAAACACACTCCCAAAGCCTGCGCCAGGGGATCCAGAGGAAGCAGGACACATTTCCAGCAAGGCCAGGCCAGACCAAGGAGAAATGCTGTGGTTTGAGTTACGCAGCAACCAAAATACTCTGCTTTCTATCACTTATGAAGTAGGTTTGTGTAGGCTTGACTTGTGTATGCATGTGTGCGCGTGTGTGTGTGTATGTATGCTCATGCCTGTGTGTGTTAACTTGGCTGACTTAAAACTTCCTTCCCAGGGATTAATGAGAAGATCAGTGTATGACAACATGTACCCAGAATATCGGTCACAGCATCACAGAATGTTGTTGCAGGGAGAGGTATTTAAGGACACACACTCATAGAAGTACACATACTCACATGCACACATGCGTACGACAGTGCTTAACAAATGCATGCTAAATGAAGACTTCATTACTGAGTTAAGGCATTGTTCATCCATTCAACAATTATTGCATACCTATTATATGCTGAACTCTGCTAAAATTAGACCAGTTGCACAAATTTACCTGCTAGAATAGAGAAAACTTGATGCAGGGCTGTTTAGCCATTTAATCAAGGAGCTACACTATTTTTAAAATAGTCCTGAGTGATGGATTTTTTTTCCAACACTTGGACAGCCAGGCATATGGGTCTTGGCATGAAAATGTTCCTGAGAGCCAAGTTGGGGTGAGGCGTGTGGCTAAAAAGACCTTCAAGCACTTCCAGTCCTTTCTACACTCCTGGAAGGTTTTTCAGGAAAAAAAGAAGAAAAAGACAAAGAAACATCCTTTGGTTTTGGTATGCACACTCTGTACTTGTATCTGTCTCTTAGACATGAGGCTGACCAAAGAGTCTACTAAAAATATAATGAAAGAAAGCAGGCATGGGAGCGGGTGGAGAGAAAGAGTTGAAAAACTAAGCCTGTTCTTTGCCTCCCACTGTAAGTTTGCCACAATGTTTAGGTCCAGAGATCTGACTCTCTGTTTGGCCATTTTGGGTCACTAGACTTGGGTAATTATTTTTCAATAAAAAGGAAAAGTACTCTCATTTTTATTCTTTCTGTTGGGTTCAACAGTCTATGGAAGGAAAAATACTCTCTAGTTTCAAGTGGACCTTTGTCCTGAGATTGCTGCTTCCTGGGTTGAGTGCAGGCTGGAGGACTGGGCAGAGACAGACAGGGAAAGGGTCTGAGCCAACTGGGGTCCACTACTCCATTCTGTGCACAGTAGACTCTACCACAATCCCAAAGGTGTACAACATGGGTTTAATAGGCTTCCAAAGGTCAGCCAGCTGGGATACCCTGGTCTCCCATTTCTCAGCTCTGGGCTCTGTTCATCTCTGTTGGGGCTGGAATTTGCCCAAAAGGAACGGAGGAAGAGAGCCCAGCAGGAGTTAGTGCGGTAGCTGAGTGGTTAGATCACTGGGTTCCTTGACGGTGGCTTCAGCTCTACCCTTTCAGCCAAACCCGAAGGTTACTGGAGCAGGCTGGGCCTGCTCCGGGAGGAGAGCTGAGTCATCCGCGGGAAGAGACAACAGCAGCTATAAATTATCCAGTGTTTAAAGATGGCTTTCTAAAACCCTGGCTTCAGGCTTGGAGTCTTTATTTATATCTCTCCCAGGAATATTTTTCAAACTCATGACAGTGCACTCTGTATTGCTTTGGGGACACTCCAAGCACCTGGTGTCTTCTATAATGAGCCCTGCAGGTGACGGGCCCCCAGAGTCCCTGAGCCTGGACTCTAAGTCCACTATGACTCAGTCCACACGTACATCCCTTCACTGCCAAGGCCAAGACCCTGTCTCGTGCACAGAAGTAAGGCCAACTTCATAGTCACAACATTAGACATAGATGCGTAGATAGCATGCAGCTGTATGCACACACTCACCCTGCAGATGCAAACTGCTCTGAGCCCCTGGTTCTCCACACATTTCATAGACATCCTCTGCTCACTGTGAAGCAGAAGGACTACAGCACACAAGAGTCACTCCTCGGGATAAAGGGCTCCTCCAGGAGTCATGGGCCCACTTCTCTGGCTCAAGAGCATTTGGCAGATGACTGAACAAAATCTTTACTCACCTTGGCAGTTCACACTTTGTTGTTGTTTGTACCTTACAAAGTGGATAAAGAGAAACCATAGAATAGAAGTTGTCAAGAAGTTTACACTCAAAAAGAATTTCTCTGGCCAAATCCTCACAAGTCAAGTGAAGGATTTGTTAGACAATAGCCCTCTTACTCGGATTATCTGGAAAAAAAGAAGAAAATTTTGTGGAGTGGAGGGGAATGAGGGGCGAAAGTTGTCTCTCTTGCCAATAAATGTTGGCCCCTTTCCTCCCTCTTTAGCCCACACTTATATAATTCCTGTATCTTCCACCTCCTAGGCCTTTTCTTTTCTTCCTTGCTTTGTAACTAGATAATTGTACATGGGTTGATAGATGAATAGCTGTTTATTTATTTCCTCTGGTTTATTTGCCATAATTTACTCTTTTCAAAGTCTTTCTAAGATAGAAAGAGAAGTCACATTCTCCTCCTGTGTTGAGAGATGAACAGGGAAAGCAAAACACACTGCCATGCTGCTGAGAGCGGTAGCTATGGTGGATCTGAGTGTAACCCCTTCCCCAGACCCTGCTTGGAAACTTACTGAGGAGATGACAAATCCACGACTGCTTGTGTCCCTTTAATGTGTCCACCTTTGCAAACCACTGATTCTTGCTGCAAATCTCTTGCCCTTGCCTCATCTTTTCAGTGTTTACTATCCAGTTGTGCCTTTCCTGAAAGAGTGTACCCTCTTGATGGCTCACAAGTGTCCTTCCAGCTCTCTTGCCAGCCTTCCCATTCTGCTCTGAGAGTGTCAGGATCTTAGGCCCTGCAGATCTTGTCCAGGGAATCCTTTGCCCTGTGGTATTTGCTTGGATCTAGCCAATGGAAGGCACTTTCTGGAGATTACAAAGAATGAAGAGAGTGAAAGCTTAGAAGCAGTTTCCCCAGCCTCCAGACTGACCGGGCTCCTATCACCTGGCCATCTAAATAGGGCCACTCATTGTATTTGTTTCCTGTGGCTGCCATACCAAATTACTACAAACTTGGTGGCTTAAAAAAAAAAAAAAACAAAAACAGGAATTTATCCTCTCACAGTCCCAGGAGGCCAGAAATCTGGGAGTAGGTGGTCAGCAGGGCAAGCTTCCCCTGGGTGCTCAGAGGGAGAACCCATTCCTTGTCTCTTCCAGGTTTTGGTGGCTGTCAGTGTCTCTGACTGGTGGCCTTATCACTCCAATCTCTGCATCTGTAATTGGTCACTTCACCTTCTCTTTTGTCTGATTCAGCTCTTCCTCTGCCTTGTCACTGCATGTAGGCCCATTAAGTATTACCAAGGATACTCTCCTCATCTCAGGATCCTTAACTTAATTGCATCTATAAAGAAACATTTGCTAAGTAAGTTCACACTGACATGTTCCAGGGATTGGGATATGGGTGTATCTTGGAGGCCCACCATTCAGCTCTCTCTGGGCTCCTCTAATGCTCTCTTTCTCTTTTGCCATTACAGAGCTATCGGTAGTGATGCTGCTACTAGCCCTGGGGTCCTGCATTATTCCTGTTTGGGTTCCTTTTATCTCGCCCCCATTTTTGTCAGCAATCTCTTTATTATATTTTCTTCTCCTTGCCCTGTTCTATTGTGAAGTTTCCTGCCAAGATCCTGACTGGCCAACAGGTATCTTGAGGCTAAAAGCGTCAGAAAAAGAGTCGGCATAACTTGCACCACGCACCCTGCCTCCCAGTACAGTAAGTGAAGTGGAGATTTACTGATAAGGAGGATAACAAACAGTGAGAATAAGAACTAAAAGGAGAGGGACCCAGACTTCCAGAGCAGTGTCATAGCATTTGTCCCTCCCTGAACTCACAGATGTGTGATGAGGGAGCAGAACTAGAACCCTTCTTTCCACAATTTCAGTTACTCTCAGTCTACTATAGTCTTACAGTACATACTCTCAGTCTTACTACAATCAGATATGTAGACAGACCACATTCACACAACTATTACAAAAGTAAAATGTTAAAATTGTTCTACTTTACTATTATTGAGTGTTAACAATCTCATTATGCCCACCATCTACATTAAACTTTGTTGTAGATCTGTGCATAGGAGGAAACATAGCACTTGTTTGGGTAGTATCTGTGGTTCTAGGCATCCTCTGGGGCCTTTGAGCATTTCCTGAGGATGAAGGATAAGATTTCCCTTCTGGACTCTGCCTCTATCCTACTGTAAGATTTGTAAAAGGAACAGCTACAGAAGACGATCAGTCCTTCATGCATGCTAACAGCACACATGTCTATAGCAGAGTACACTAATATCTATGATGCTTTGTCACCAAAGAAGTGAAGGCTCTTCCCTATCCCTTCAATCTAGGCTGGCCTCTTAACTTGCTCTGACCAATAGAATGTGTCTATATAGATGCCAAGCTGGGGCCTCAAGATGCTGGACATGTTGTCCCTCACTTTCTTGGAACCCTGCCCTTTCCACCTGAACAAGCCGAAGTTTTCCCAGGGGAGGGAGAGAAAGTGTGTGCACGAAGGTTCCGTCACCCAGACTCTCCATGGCCAGCCAGCTGCCCGACCAACCAGCCCCATGCACATGCGCACGTGCAACCAAGATCTGTGGAGCCAGGTCCAATTCAGGCTCCTGGGCAGCAATAAAAGAATGTCACATGTCACTAACTGCAGGGGTAGTTTATCATACAACGGCTAACCTCTAAAATTATCTCTGTCCCCCACTAGAAAGCAAGCGCCAAGAAGCTGTTAACCTCAGACGTCTCTGTATCAGTCCTCCACTCATATGTCTTGGCACATTTGAGATTCTCAATCCAAGCTCAAAGAACGGAACAGCATAGAGTGGAATACAATGGAATTTGTACATTGGTAAAGGGCGGAGCAACCACAAAGCACCTCATGAATACAGGAAGGTCACTACCAGGCTCTTCTCCACCTCCCAGGGCATGTGCTTGGGAAAAAGGTTACCTGATCACCACTGCCTTTGTCTATCAATTGGCTCAGGGCTGCATTAATCCCTGCTTAGTTTCTTCCCCACCTCCCTTACCCCATCCTCAGTCTGGCTGCCCAGATGATGTCAGCAGTAACCAATCTTGCAGCCAGTGCAGTCAGCCGGCTGGCTCGCTTCCATGTCTAAAGCCAGACACTTTAGAAAGAACTGGAAAATATTACCAGCCACCCACTCCACTCCACTCCCCCTCCCCCATTCACTCACACTCCCCAGCCACATACACCTAACCCCAAGAGACAGCAGCTGGGAAGTACTGAAACCAAAGAAAGAAGAAACTGGAATTGTAGCCCGGCAGGCCTCATGGGCTGAGCCACGAGACTCCTGCAGGCCTGAGAATGGAGTCTGGGAGAGAAAATGTTGGCCTGCGGGGTGCACAGCCAGCTGCCCACCCTCCTCCTGTACCTCTCACAGCTCCAAGGGCTTGGCCATGTGGTGCCAATGAAACGGGCATGGAGGGGTCAGCACCGCTGCTTGTGAGAGCGCCACACAGAAGATCACCATCATTTCTTTGAAGTTGCCAGATTGCCTTGCAGGGACACAGTGGGGACTCCAAGCAAATGGCTTGAATAAATATGAGCAGGTGAAAAAGTTTCATGTGTTTTTTGTTTCTCCCAACATTTTGTGTGAGTAAAAAGTATTCTACCATTAAACTGTCCTCACGTCCTGCCTTGGAAACTCCTGTTTTTTGAACATGGCCACAAAGGCACACAATCTAGGCCCCTCGAGAGCCTTGGGGTCTAGGAAAGGCCTATTTGTCTTCCCAGGCCTCAGTTTCCTTACCCAGGAGTGCACACGGAAAGCGGCCCCTGCCTTGTAGAGTTGTGGAGCAGAATTAATATGAAGATAGCTAGATGCGTATTCTCTGTATTTTCCATTTCATTTTGTTATGAATCTAAAATTGCTCTAGAAAATAAAAGCTATTTTTTGAGATTGTCAGACGAATGTAAATGAAAGGGACACGTTATGGTTTGCATTTAAATGTGGTTTACGTGCTAAACACTTGGTCATCAGTCTGTGACACTACTGGAAGGCACTGGAACCTTGAGGACATGGGGTACCGTGGAAGGAAGTGAAGTCATTGGGAGTGTGGGGAGCCCATCCTTTTTCTCTGTCTCTGCCCCCTGGCCTCCACGAGATGAACCGCTTTGCTCCACCACATGTTTCCTGCCATGATGTTCAGCTTCATCACAGACCCAGAAACAGCAGAGCCAGGCACCTCACAAACTGAATGAAACCTCTAAACGTGGGAGCCGAAACAAGTCTTTCCTCCTTTTGTGCTGATTATCTCAAGTATTTTGCCATAGCAATAGAAAGCTGGCTCACCCAGTATCCAGTAGTTAGGCTTCATTTATTCAGTGCTTACAGCTCTTTGGAAAAGAAGAGCTAAACTGCTGGAGGACTTTGTAAGCTATGAAGTCTGTGGGGGAAAAGTCTTTATCAGGGTGAGGAGATGTGTTCACTCTGGAAAAAGCTATTGGCAGTCTAGGTCAGGAGACAGATCTTAAACTAAAGATGAGAGGTAGCACCTAGGATGCCAAATGCCCCACAGTACCCATGTATGTTTCTATCTAAGTCTGGGCCAGATGCTAAGGAAGGATATTCAGGAAGGGAAGGACCCTGAGATGATGGCCCTTATTCTCTCTGCCTGGTACACTTCCTCCACAGTCTAAGAAAGGCATTGGCAGTTCCTTTCAGGGCCAAAGATGGCAGGTGTGGAAGTTAGAGGCTGCTGGCACCCTTGGTTCTAACATCAAAAAGTATCAGTCTGAGTGAACAAAACTGGTGTGTGGGCGGAAACCAACATAAGGGATAGCAGGTCCTGCCTCTTTGTCTTTCTCTGTCCCCAGCTGTCCCTGAAGCCAGCTGCACTCAGTCTTCCCTTGGTTTGGTTACAGGAACCAACAAATCCCCCTTCTAGCCTAAGCTGGTTATGGAAATTCTGCCATTTGTGACTAGAACAATCCCGACTACAACTCTGTTCTCTTCTTCAAAAACTGTACAGCTCAATGGAAGAGATGACATGGCAAACAAAGCAAATAGAAGGTCATGCAAGACAGCACTAGACGGGGGATTTTCAATGAATTGATCTCTCTCTCACACACACACTCTCTCTCTCTCTCTCTCTCTCTCTCTCTCTCTCTCTCTCTCTCTCTCTCTCTCTCTCTCTCCACCCCGCTTTCTCCCTCTCCCACCTTCTTTTTCTGGTCACTAAAATAGCTTGAGCCATAGGGATATTTGTATACAGAACTAAAAAAAAATAAAGAAAAATAAATCTTTCCTTAAAAATCTTTTTTTTTTTCCATAGAATTCTTTTAGGAAAATTCCTTAGAAATTTTCTTTTATAGAGCACTCAGTTCAGTCACAGAATACTTTTCAGACTCTTGAAAGAATATTGGGTGACCTGTCACCCCTGAATATTGCAGAGATTCTGTTCCAGCCCATTACAGAGTAGTGAAGCTGATTCAGCTTCTAAAGATCTCCCCCCAAAGAGCATTCCGCAGTGTTCTTCTTCTTGCCCCTTCCCGTGCTTAACCCTACCCTCCCTCCCAGTCCACTGCCCCCCACCCTAGCCCTTCCTGAGCACCTGTTGCTACAACAAAGAGAAGCTCCAAGATGAAGTTTCTGGGCTTGACCAGGTGAGAAACTGAGTCCATTCAGAAAAGATAATGCCATTTGTTGGTTTAGCTCATTTCAATCATCAGGGAAAGCTTTGGGTGGGGAGAAGTATTCACAGAGCTCCGCAGGTATAAAAAGGTGATTATATTTAAATGGAAGACCTGTCACTAAGCAAAACACTCTGTCAGCTGAGACAACTTCAGTGGCTTAAGTGCAGCAGGCAGAGGAGGATTTGTCTGCTGCTCAGACAGCTGCTGTTCTCCTAAGGAGTCAAGTCTTCCTCTGTCCCTCAGGCCACCCAGCACAAGGGCTCTCCTGGTGCTTTGTCAATCCTGCCCTGCATGAATAATTTGGACTGATACTGCCAGGCTCCTGGAAGTCAGGTCTGCACTCACTCCTCAAAGACCCAAAGATCTAAGAACTGTGAACACAGCTTATTTGAATGTTTGAAAACTGAGTTTTAGCTCAATTTTATTTGGCTGGTTTTGTTAGTCTAGAGCAGGGGTCAGCAAATGGTTTAGGTAAAGGGCCAGATGGCAAATACCTTAAGATCTGTGGGACTGAACATTCTCTTTGGGTCTACTCCATCCTGCTATCCTAGTGCAAAAGAAGCCACGGGCATAAACAAATGAGTGTGGCTGCTTCCCAATAAAACTATTTAAATACATACAAACTGGAATTTCATATCATCTTCATGTGCCATGAAATAGTAGTCTTTTGATTTTTTGGTAAACGTCATTCTTATTTTATAGGCTGTATAGAAACTGGAGACTAGAAAGATTTGGCTCAAAGAATATTTTGTCAACTTCTGTTTTACAGTCCTATTCTGGAGAAAAAAAAATTACAAGGGTGATATTACTGTCTGATTTAGTGCTATGTGCGGCCCTAAGTGTAGTAGCTTGATCAATAACTTGAAAACTTTAATAAAATACATCCATGGTCTCAGCCAATGGAAGGTCTCACTACAACCATGAGTTAGGTATTACTATATCAATATCTAGATGGAAAACTGAGGATCACACTTGATATAATCAAGAGTACACCATAGATGGGAGGATCTAAGCTCAAAGGTAGACCTCTTGCCACTACATCTTGGAGAAGTTTAGATGGTTCAATCATTGCACCAAGCATTTATTAGTACCTTGAAAGCAGCAGGTGAGGATGAGCACCTGGGCAAAGGTACAGAGCAGGGAGCATGACCCCTTGGTTGCTCCCTGTTTTCCTCAAGGCCATAGACACACGGGAAATTGATAATCAGTTGTCTCACCAGAAGCAAGACTTGTCTTACCCAACAACATAAAGAAAGACAAGTTCTACAGTGGGATGTGATCACCCAGCCTTGTTACCATAGATCCATAAACCTCTAGAATATGTGAACAGCCAGGAGGTCAATGGGCTTCTCTAGAGATTCAGGGTCAGGCCAAGGCCTTTCTCCAATGCATTTCCATGGTGGAGGAAGCTCCCATCTACATGGACTGCTACCAGGCACTCTTAAGAGAATGCCCTTCCCCTAACATTCTTTCCACCTGTCAATCACTTGAGCATTATGCCAATTTTTAGATAAGCCACTAGACATGGGGTGGGGGAGTCGGTTCTTGTCTCCTCTACGGTACTACACTGTGGGCTCACTTTTGGCCAGTCACTTCCTTCCTCCACATCAGTTTTTATTCTCTAAGATGGGTAGCAATGGCAACATGGGGGAGAGTCAGTGGTGGTGTTTATGTGGTATCTAAAGTGGTGCCTGCAACACAGTAAGATCCCAAGAGTGTCCATTCCATCTCCTAGGTGCAGAGTATTCACCTTTATGTCTTTGTCTGTGCTCTTCTACCAGCCTGGGATTCCTTCCTTTCCTCCATCACCTTTCTGGGACACCTTCTCTGACCTTCCACCTGCTATATATCCATAGACTGAGACAGACACTTCCTTGCAGGACAATGGCTTGGACTGTGCCATCCCAAAAAAGATACATTGAAGTCCTAACCCCTAATACTCAGAACATGACCTTATTTGGAAATAGAGTATTTGCAGAGATAATCAAGTTAAATAAAGTCATTATGCTGGGCCTTACTCCAAAATGAACATGTCCTTATAAAAACAGATGTGTCAAGGGCTGGGGTGAGGTTGAGTCTTAGGGTGCTTTTCTAACATGCAGAAGGCCCGGGGATCAGTCCCCAGTACTACCAGAAAAGAGAGATGCGGGATATGTGGATACAGAGACAGACACATGCAAAGGGAAGATGGTGTGAAGATACATGTGGAGAAGATGGCCATGTGGTTGAGTATCGCGTCTTCTGGCAAACATCCAAAGCAAAAGAACAAGGAAGGATTCTTCCTAAGAGCTGTCAGAGAAAGCATGCACATTCTGACACCTTCACTTTGAACTTCTAGCCTCCAAAAATATGAGACAATGCATTTCCATCGTTTTAAGCCACTCAGTTTTTGGCAGTCCTAGAACATCAACACAGGCAAGTTCTCACGTAGCATTTTCCTATTACACAAAACATCTACTTGCATGTCTGTCTCTGCTAGCTTGCAAGTGTGTCTGTGTATCCCCAGAGTCTATATCTGCTAGGAGGTTACTGACCATTGGTCCTTGAACTAACTGAAATTTCCTTTGTTCTGTGAAAGCATTTGTCTTTGTTGATATGATAATATGACATCTGCAAGAGACCAGGAATAGGCTACGTTTTCTGCAATTAAAGCCTCAATTTGGAAAAGCTCAGGGTCATCCCACAGGATCTACCCCTCCTGAGTGTATAAGTATCTGCATCCAGTTCTGTCTCTCTTCTAACTGGGCAGGCCACCTCCTGGCCACATGGAATGCTCGGTTTCCCTTTCCTGAAATGGAACCCCTCAGCAGATCCTTTTCCCTTGGGGCAGCCAAGAAAAAGTTGGAATGCTCACAAGTAACTTTCATAAAGAGA